CATTTAAACTTGAATCAGCGTCAGTGAATATAGAAGATCCTGATGCTTCTCAAGATAATACAAACCCTTCTATGATGAAATATAAATATAATAAAAAGTAATATATATTATAATATAAAGAAATAAAAATATTGTTTTGATTTGAAGTTTAAATTTGTTGGGGAGTCTGAATAGACCATCAGCGTTTTTATGTATTTTTCCTGCTCTATGTTGTACAAAAAAATTGTAACCTTGGAGTTTCATAATCCAACATGCAAGTCTTCCTGTTGGATTAGCAATTTTGAACAGAGAGCACAATGCAGAATGATCAGTAATAATTGTAAATTGTTGTCCATGTATGTAAGGGTGAAAATGTTTAATTGACCAGACAACAGCTAAACATTCTAGTTCTGTTGCAGAATAATTTTGTTCTGGTTTGTTTAGGGTTCTGAAGGCATATCCTATAGCATGTTTTTTGTTGTCATCTCCTATTTGTGATAATACTGCACCAAGAGCTATAGTCGATGCATCTGTGTAGAGTAAGAATTCTTTGTCAAAATTTGAAAATATAAGAATAGGGGCTGAGATAAGTTTTTCTTTTAAAGTTTCAAATGCTTTTTATTGTTCTTCTTTCCATTCTAGTTTAATATTTTTCTTAAGTAGTTGGTTCATTAGGGCTGCTATTTTTGAATAATTGGTTATGAATCTTCTATAATAGGAAACAAGTCCAAGAAAAGCTTGTATTTGGGTAATAGTTTAGAGACAAGATAATTTTTAACCTTTTTTATTTTTGCTACATCAGGTAAGACTCCATTTTTACTAATTATATGTCCTAAAAATGCTAATTCTTGTGCAGATTAAAATGAAATCTGATCAAAATGAAACTGGGGACCTCTTATACCTACCCTTAGAGCCTATAAAACCCACATATACTTATTTATTAATAAATCTAACCCTAAACCCTACCCCTAATGCTAAAAAGAACCCCAAAAAATGTTTCCCAAAAAATTTTAAATTTTCTTTAAAAAACAGAAAAATTTCGTTTTGATCAGATTTCGTTTTAATCTGTGACAATTCTTGTTTGATAAAAAAGCATTTTTCAGGTTGGAGTTTAAGATTTGCTTTTTTAATACATTCAAATACAAGACGAAGATGTTGGATATGTTCATCAAAAGTTTTTGAGAAGATATTAATGTCATTGAGATATACTACAACAAGCTTCCAAAGATATTCTTGTAGTATATTATTCATTAAGCATTGAAATATGGCTAGAGTATTAGTTAATTCGAAAGACATTACTTTGAATTCATATAGTTCATGTCGAGTAGTAAATGCAGTCTTGGATACATCTTGAGGAGCCATGGCTACTTGCCAGTAACCACTTGCTAGATCTAGAGAAGTGAACCATCCAGATCCTTGTAATATGTTTAAAAGTTCATCAATTCTTGGTAAAGGATAACTATCCTTTTTAGTTATTGTATTTAATTTTCTATAATCTATGCAAAAACGTAGTTTTCTATTTTTCTTTTTGACAATAACAACTAGAGAGGCCCAAGGACTTTTAGAAGGCTGAACAAGATCTAATTTTAACATTCTTTGAATTACTTCTTTAATAAAATCTGATTCTTTAGATGAGGTTCGATAAAATTGTTGTTTTATAGGTTTATCATTTTCAACTTCAATTTCATGTTGGATTTTGTTAGTTCTCCCCAGATTAGAATTATTTTAAGCAAAGATATCAATATATTCATTAACAAGATCATAAAATTCTTCTTGTTGTTTTTTATCCAATTCTCTAACATTAAGTTTAGGAGGAGGGTCAAAAGAATCTTCTATTTTATCTTCATGAAATGTTGGTAAGATTTTTTGGATTTCATTTCATTCTTCATTAGTTTTTGTATAGCAATATGGGCACATTTGCTTTAAGTTTTCTTTTTTCATTTCTTGCCAAAGATTAAGAGTATAGATTCTTTCTTCAAGTTGTTCATCTTCATATTCAGTAGATTCATCAGATTCATTTGAGGATTCTATTTACTTTTACTTTCATCAGAGCTTTCTTCTTTTGTTTTTCTTTTGGATATAGCTTCAACTCTTGGAATTTTAGTAACATGTCTAAATTTAATGGGAACTTGAATTTTTACATTTTGATTTTTAATTTTCATTACTGATTTTTCCCAGTTAATTTTTGCTTTAGCTTTGGATAGCTAGTCATTACCAACAATTACAGAATATATGTCAGTATCTACAACTACTACATCAATTGGTAAGGAGTATTCACCAATTTTAATAGGTAGATTTTCTACTTCTCCAAGAGGTCTTCTCTTTTCACTATTTACATTTAATATTAAAGTTGTTGATAGTTTTGTAATTTTTAAGCCAATACGTTTAAGAAAATGATTAGAGATAATACTTCTAGCAGAACTACTATCAAGAATAATATTGGTAGTAACTTCATTAACATTGGCTTGACAATATAATGCTGTAGTCCTAAATTTTCCATTATCTGCATATTGGGCAGTAACCATAGGTTCAGGAGTAGATTTAATTTTTTTCTTTCAAAGGCTTCTACTTAGTTTTCTTAAATATTTAGGGTTTTCAGCAGCAAGTTGAGCAATAGAGATATTTGCCTTAATTTGTTGTAAGTCTTTAGCAATTGAATATTTTGATACATCTTTACCAATTGTTGGTTTATGAAATCTTGGACCTTGTAAAGGATTTCTTTTCTTTTTAGCTTTAGGAGTTTTTGAATTTTCTGCTTGAGGGTCATTTACTACAATATTTTAAACTCAGGAGTTTCATTTTCTTCTACTACTTTTCTTCTTTTTTCTACATAGGCTTCATTAATATTATTTTTATCATCTTCTTTTAAATACATCATAGAAGGGTTTGTATTATCTTGAGAAGCATCAGGATCTTCTATATTCACTGACGCTGATTCAAGTTTAAATG